CAGGGATTGCACTATTTCTTAAAAAACTCCTGCTTAAAAATCACTCCTCATCCATGGATTTGTGCAGGAGTCCTTCCAACTTTCCTCTTTAAAAAGTTTCCTTGACAGCGTTAACTTTTTGCCTTTATTTTTTTCCTTCTTTTTTAAACTACTTTCCCCCGTTTTTCTCTCCCCGATTTCCGAGGGCATCAGCCGGCGGGTTTTTGCCGGTGCTGCGGTGCTGCCGTACATGGGGTCTCCGTGTGTGAGTCGGTGCAGCCTGAACAAAGCCGCAGCAGCAATTGCTTCGCTGTGGGATATTTGGAAGGGATCTCGCTAATCTGTGCTCGTCGGCTCCAATTAAACAGCACCAAAATGGAGAAGTTGGTTCTGACTTAAAAAAATTCGTATTCGTCTCCCATCCCCGCAGCCCAGGCTGCAGGACTGGCATCAGACAGCCACAAATCCGGCTGATTTTTTATTTTTTTCCCTGAGAAAAAGTTTTGGAGTTGGGTTTAGGAGGGAGTGAAATGTGCCTGGGTGATTTTTACAGCACCGTTAGCGGTTGTGATCCTGGGAAGCTGAGGAGCGAAAGAGATCTCCGGGATGCATCCCTGCTCTAGCTACCGGGAGAGCAGCAATCATATTTTACTGCAAGGACTCGTCACCAGCTGGTGGATGAGCCGAGGTGGCGGTGCCACCGCGATCCTGCATGGGGCTGAGCTCGGTGGGGCTGCGAGGGTGCAGAGGCTCGGGGAGCCGGGCTCGTGTGTGGGGGCTCGAATGCTGCTCTGCGGAAGGGTCAGGGAGCAGGGGATGTGCCGAGGGTTTGTGACAAAAAGCAGAAGTGTCACCGGAGGGAGGGAAAAAAAAAAATTAATAAAAAAGAAACAAAACAAAGCCCAGCAAAGGGAAACCGTTCTCCTGCCGGCTCCCACGAGAACCTGTGCCTTGCTCTCCGGAACAGCCGTAAAATTGCAGGGAAAACAAAGGTGGTATTTTGCGATGGTGGGTGAGGGGTGGGGATTAGGTCATGCAGTGGAGGGGATCCGAGTCTGGCTGCTCTGCGAGCAGGGACCGCAAAATCCCGGCTCAGACATGCCGCGCACAATGCGAGCCGAGCGGTGAAGTTTCTGTCTCCAGCCCTCTCGCTGCCGTGTCTGCGCTTCACAACGCTCCGGCTGCGATCAGGGCTTTGGATTCTTTCATGCAGTTTTATCTTCCCCTTCTCTCCCACCCTCCTTTTCCCCTTGTATCGGCAAGTTAGCAGCAGTTTGCTGTCATGCTGGAACTATTCTTGTCTAAGTTGTCCTCTCTTCTGAGTTCGGATCATCCTCAACACCCCCAGAATCTTTTCAATGAAAGAACGTCCTCCTCTGAATCCAAAATGGGCTCTCTCTTCCCTCCCTGTCTTCTGCCATTATCCTCACGCACCAGCTCTTCCTCTAGCTAGTGGTATTGCCAGCACCGTGGCCTAAGGCCAAGGGACTTAGACAAAGCAGTCCTTGCAGTTGCACATATCGCATTCAGAGTGATACGACTGCAAATGGCCCCCTCCTTTCTGGAGCTTAATTCTGATTTGGAGGAGATTGCTTCTCTATTGTGCCTAAATTAAATGCCCCCCAGCCAGGAGGATAAATCCTGGGTTTGCTTCCAAAACTGGGGTGAAGGACCCCCACCCCCCACCCCCCCACCGTCCTGCAGAGGAGAGGAAAACAGGAAATCTGTCCCTTTTGGCCTGAAATCAGCCCTGCAGAAACCTCTCTATATGAATGCTGAATATTTTGGTCTCGGCCGACGGAGGGCTCTGGGCAGCTGTGGATCTCACAGGGATTTTCCTCTGGGAGGTAATGCTGCTTCCCTGCAGTGCAGGGCTTCTGGTGCAGGAGTATTTGGGAAGGCAGTGTCGACTCAGCTCTTGGAGCCGCGTCCTTGCTGCAGAGCAAACTCCTCTCAAGTTGAGGCTCAGAGTAGCCACTCTGCAAAATTATTCCTAAACTGCACATCAGTTTAAGATGAAGCAGTTGTGGTTGGTGGGTGCCTGGGCTCTGTTCTTGCATGGGAGCATGCTTTGGGAATCCAGTCCTGGACTGAAGTCCAGAGGGAGAGGAGCTGGATGTGGGGGAGGAAATACGGGGAGGAAACCTCTGTGGGTTGTCGGCAGATCTGGGGATGACTGCGGGTGAGGAAAATGCAGCTGCTCCACAAGTGACTCAGGATGCTGGAAGCATCTGGGTGCTGACTCCTCTGCCTTACACCAGGCTGAGGGAAGGAGAATGTGTTGTCACAGCAGAATTCAGTGCCTGCTCCTCTTCCCCGCTGCCCAGGTCAGTGCTGACACTTGGCCCAGGGTGGCTGCAGTCAGGCTTGGGGTGTTTTATCCAAATTTTTTCTGAAGTCACCTTCCTGGAGGTCCTGTGCTCAGGGAATTGTGTTCCTGCATGGAGTACCCCGAGCTTTCAATTCCAAGCTGCCTGTGCTTGGGGAGCCCCATTTATCTCCTGCCTGGGCTGTAAATGAGCTCTATTGGGGACCTGCAGTGGCTCTACCTGCCCAGCCTCCCCTGACCCTGCAGTGTCCCAGGGGAGCCTCTGTTACCTTTTGTAACAACCATGTTTTGATTTGTTTGCCTTCTCTTGCTTATCCTACTGATTCCTGGGAAGTGCTGTTTCCTCCTCATCTGTCTTGTGTTTCATATTGTTTGACTATTTCTCTGTAAGGGACCAGCTGCTGAGCTGAGGTGAAGTAGAGCATCTCCATTGACTTAAGCTGAACTTGACACTTACACCAGCTGTGAATAGGTCTGTAGTTTGTTTTTCGCCATGTTTTCATGTGTTTTCTGGCTCAGTGGATATTCACCAGCATCCCTATTTTGTTTAGACTAAGCACAGGTCAGAAAAAATGTGTTTCAAGATACAGAAGCTAGCAGAGACAGCTTGGGATTTTCCTTTACTTTCATTCTCATTCCTGCAGAAATGTCAGGTTTTGAGACAAAGTCCCGTTCGTGTAAAAAGGTTAAAAGCTGTCATCTGTAGGGTCTGGAAACACCAATTGCAGCTGACAGTGACAAGGGAAGGAGCTGTGTCTTGGCTCCACACGAACAAGTCGTGGCCTTGTACAACAAGTGCTGCTGGAGCTGAGGACCAAAGGGGCTCCCAGTGCACCTGCCAAACCTTGCAGCAACCACAAGTTTCTTGTGAAAAGTGCAAATTCTCACTGGGAGGTGAAATGAAAAGCATTTCCCTGTCTGGGGCTGTAGCTGGCAGCTGGAGAGACCAGTTCCACTCAGTCCTGAGAAAGGATACCAGCACACGAGGCCGGCCCTTCTGTTCTCAGCACTGCACTGCAGACTTGCTGGAGCACATGGCTTGCTTGTCGCCCTTTACAGAGACAGCTTCTGTTTGATATTGTTGACCATATTGAGAGGTTGTTTTTGGAGTGGGAGTACTGGAAAGAATACTCTTTGTAGGCAGAACAGAGAGCAAAGTGTTTGTGCCTTAGCAGGGGGGATAATTTCTAGGAAATATGCTGCCCTCTCCAATTCAGACTGAAATCTGCTGGATCCCTGATCTCTTGAAATCCATGTGAAGTTAAGCATGATGCAAAAAGAAGCTCTCTAAACATGTTTCAGAATTAGCAGTTTTCAAGCGGACTTGTTTGGGCATTTAGAAAACGGGCATTTTTGGCTTTGCCTCCCTGAGTTTTGTTGAGAGCAGTTTGCACAGTGTGGTTTTCAGTCAGCCAATCTCCACGGTCCCCACCCAGCACCTTGGTTTGCTGCAGACTGCTTTGGGTTCAGGCTAACTGGATTCCTGCTGGATAAAAGTGGCCCAGAAGCTCTGCTCCAGTTGTGCCACACGGATGCTCCATCCCTTGCAAGGGGAACACAGGGATCCAAACCAAGGATGGCACAGCTTTGAACCATGCCCTCCCAGTCTGGGGGATCAGACTCAAATCTAACCTTAAGTCATACCCCCTTAGGCCAACTACATGTGGTGTGCACATACCAAATGCTTTAATCTCTTGATCTGTTCCTTGTGGTGCCAAATAACTTGCTGGTGTAGGAATAGCTTAAGCAAGAAAAGAAGAATGGTGGGGAGTCGAGGGACTGGCTTTAGTTTTCCTGATAAAGAAAGAGACAGGAGGGCAGGAAGAGCAGACATAAACCATGACCGTTATCCACATGGAAAGATTAAATAGCACAAGAGTAGCAGAGGAAAGGCCCAGAGTGTGACAGATCAAAAGAGCAAGGCCTCTGGCTGTTAGGATAAAGAATGTCCTACTTCTTGAGAACATATTTATGTGTCTGCGCACTGCGTTTTTTTAAAAGGAAATAGTTTTATTCAAAGAAAGGTCTGTTCCTTCCACAAGGGCTGTTCAAGGGAGAAATAGTGGGTGAAAATATAATTTTTATAGCTAGTGCTATAAGGAATGGTTTGTGCAAATGAGAACAGGGTCCATTATTTTAAATTTAAAAAATTATGGGGAGGTTGGGGGGAGTGGGGGCTCTGTTTGAGCTCTGGGTTGGCAGCTGCTGTTAGAATTCAGTGTGTGGCTTGGCTGTGCATGGATCCACTTGTGTAGACATGCATGTGGTGTCCCATGGATGGCAAGGAGCTCTTGTTGAACTCAAACCAAAGAGTATAGAGGGCTAAGGAGTAAAATATTCCTGTAGCCAGCCAAAACACTGCAGCTGTGTTCAGCACTGCAGAAATAGCTGTGCTGGGTGAAGCTGTTACCTCTCCCCTGGTGCTCCAGGATGCCTCACGGTGAGTGTTGGCAAAGCAGCTTCAGGAGCATTTCTCATGAGTTTTCTTGCAAAGTTTAGGACAGAAGAATTTGTATCCTCTCAGTACCAGCTTTGTTGTCTGGTAGCTCTTATGGTCAGGACTCCATGAGGAGATCCTGCAGGCTGTGCCAGAGACAGCGACCTCCAGCACTGGGCCCTGGAGTTGTGGTGACCACGAGCCGCTGAAATGGCAGCAGCCCTGATGGTTCAAACAGCCTCAGCTTGAGGGTTTGTGAAACAGAGGGAGAACTGTTGAGATTCCACTGACTGCACCACGTACATGGATAAAATCCAGGCTGCAGGCATCTCCTCTACATGCTCCTGTGTTCGTGTGTGGAAAATGGCTGTAAAATGTGGTTTTATAGGGCCTTACAAAGGACAGGGCAGAAGAGAAGCACACATGCAGTGGGGTTGGGAAGCACACATGCATGGGACTGGGAAGCACACATGCAGTGGGGTTGGGAAGCACACATCCATGGGATTGGGAAGCACACATCCATGGGGTTGGGAAGCACACATGCATGGGGTTGGGAAGCACACATGCAGTGGGGTTGGGAAGCACAGATCCATGGGATTGGGAAGCACACATGCAGTGGGACTGGGAAGCACACATGCATGGGATTGGAAAGCACACATGCAGGGGGATTGGGAAGCACACATGCAGTNTGGGATTGGGAAGCACACATGCATGGGACTGGGAAGCACACATCCATGGGATTGGGAAGCACACATGCATGGGGTTGGGAAGCACACATGCATGGGACTGGGAAGCACACATGCATGGGACTGGGAAGCACACATGCAGTGGGACTGGGAAGCACACATCCATGGGACTGGGAAGCACACATGCATGGGATTGGGAAGCACAGATCCAGTGGGACTGGGAAGCACACATCCAGTGGGATTGGGAAGCACACATCCATGGGACTGGGAAGCACACATGCATGGGACTGGGAAGCACAGATCCATGGGATTGGGAAGCACAGATCCAGTGGGATTGGGACACACACATCCATGGGACTGGGAAGCACACATCCATGGGGTTGGGAAGCACAGATCCATGGGGTTGGGAAGCACACATGCAGGGGGTTGGGAAGCACACATGCAGGGGGATTGGGAAGCACACATCCATGGGATTGGGAAGCACACATGCAGGGGGATTGGGAAGCACACATGCATGGGGTTGGGAAGCACACATCCAGTGGGATTGGGAAGCACACATGCAGGGGGATTGGGAAGCACACATGCATGGGGTTGGGAAGCACACATGCAGTGGGATTGGCCCTTGGCTTCTCTAAGTCAGTCCTACACGAGTAACTCCGTGAGTTGTGTGGCTGTTCCTGGTTTTCCTTTGCTGCCTGTGGAACAGGGGTAGCAGAGCTGTGTGGATGCTTTGGCATCTGCAGAGTGGATCAGGTGAGTGCACCCAAGTGTTCCTGCTGCTTCTTTCAGGGTGCTCAGCAAGCTGCCTTCCCTGTTATTTTTCCAGCAAGCAGCAGTAATAGAATTAAGAATTAAAACTTGAAGCAGCAAATTGGTCATCATTGCTCAGGCTTGGAGCTGAAGGGATCCCTACAAACCTGTCAGGAATTAATGAGAAGGTTCCTGGTCAGCAGGAGTTTAGGCAAACAAAGATTGATTTGAGATCCTTTGTCTCTCAGGGTGTTAATTTGGGCTGAGAGAGACTGCTGGAAGGAAGAGATTTTGATACTAAAATCTCGTTTCTGTTCGCTGTACCCCCCATAATTAATAAAGATTAATATCAATTAACAAGAAAATCACTATATTTTTGTGGGGAAAAATGCTTGTGGCAGTCTTCTGCTGGAATACAGAAATAAAAGACATTGTTTGCTCTAGAATAAGTGGGGATCTACAAGGTTTTGTGTACATTTAATTGGGAAAGTGAGGGGAGGAAAGTGTGTGTATTAATTTAGGTTTTAAACAGCAGCAAGCACTAAGACAGTTTGGGATGTGATACAGGGTGCCACTGAAATTCAGCACCAAGCACACTCCCTTTCCATTCTGTCAGTTCTTAACTGTCTCCATTGTCATTTTAACGTTGGAGAGAGCAAGCCTCAATTTAGATCCCCCCTCCTTTTTCTCTCTAGTGAATACCTAATCATCACACCGATTTTTGACTGGGTATTGACTGTGAGACTTCCTGGCCTAATTTCTAACTATAATAGCAATATTTGGTGGATTTTTTTTATTTTTTTAAATCCGAGATACACAGACTGCTCAGACATGCAGATGAATTTTGGGTTAATTGAGTAATAGTCATGCAAGACCCAGGGCTTCTCCCTGAGATTAACATACAAAGTGATAGGTCAAAAATCTTGTTGCCCTGTGAGATACTAATACCCCCCACCCCCCAATTAATTTCATTTTCATGATCGCATAATTTAAAATTGAGGTGAAACCAAGGATTTTTCCTTTTTCCCCCCCTCCAGCCGAGTTTGACTGGCACAACTTCTGCCATGGCTGCATGGAGGCTGGTACCGCGGCCAAGTCAAATCCTTTCCTTTGTTCTCCGGGCCTGCTGCTGCTGCTGATAAAGTGGTCGGCGCATGGCATTATGTCTTATTACATTTTTGATGCAGACTGCAAAGAAACGGGTAAACTCACCATGGTTACCAGGCTCTGTCACTTGGCAGGGCCCGGCGCTCTCAGATGGCCTCTAGTGTCTGCAGCGCGCTCTGCAGCGCCCCGGCCGTGCCGCTGCTGTGTGCGTCCGTGCTCTGAGCATCCCTGTGTGCGTCCCTGCTCTGAGCATCCCTGTGTGTGCATCCCTCTGAGCATCCCTGTGTGTGCGTCCCTGCTCTGAGCATCCCTGCTCTGTGCGTCCCTGTGTGCATCCCTGCTCTGAGCATCCCTGTGTGCGTCCCTGTGTGTGCA